CATCGCGATGACGCAAGCAGCATCGTGATGACACAGGCGGCGTTTTGATGAGGCACGCGGCATCATCATAACGCAGGCGCGCTGTTACTATGCAGGCGGTTGGAAGCAGACTCTGCATCACGAGGCGACTTTCAAAGATGTGACTCTTCAGCCATTCGGCTAGTTCTCAAGTAGGAACACAGCGCCTGCTGTAATCATTATCGAACACATAATACGAGTCCAAAGAACGCTTTTTGCAGCAGGCAGGATGACAATAATGCAGGCAGCTTCATCACAATGATGCTGGCCGCATCATCAGGATCAAGGCGGCGCACGGTAAGCACGGGCAGCATCATGACATCATGACGCTGCCAGCCACATCTTGAAATGGGCGGCATTATGCTCAGACAGGCCGCCGCATAACGATGCGACCGCAGCCACGCTAACGTAGCGTCATGATGCAGGCAGACTCAGGCAGAACTATGATGATGCAGGTGGCATCATCATGACGCAAATAACACCTAAGTTATTTAGCAGGCTGCGTCATGGTGAGGCAAGCGGCATTAGGATGATCGGAAGCTGATGTAGGGGCCATCACGATGATGCAGGTCGTATCATCAAGATGATAAAGCAGGCCTTGCAAAAAGGATGCAGGACGCTTCACCAAGATGCAACACGAGCGATTCTGTTGCAAAGCAAGCGATCTCACAAACCCGCGCAGCAGCACTCGCGCAGGCAGCATCAATATCGCGCAGTCACTTGAAAACCACGCGCGACGCAGGCATACGCAAGCTGCGCCGCAGCAGCGCACGTCACACCACTATGACACAACGGGCAATAACATGCTGGCTGCAGCCTGGCGCCCACCGAATACAACGCGGCATGAACTTGTACGTCTGTCCTGTTTGTCCGCGCAGACAAGCCGCACCAAAGGTTGCGCGTCGCTAAAGCGCATCGCGCCTGGCCGGGCTACTGCGCAACAAAGTAGTTTCAATCAACCACGCAGCCTTGCACACGCAGCGGCACCGCCAACTACGCAGCGCGCCGCAATGAGCTATGATACGTGTCACCAAGCGGCGCTCAGCCGCAACAAGACCCGAAGCCAACAAAGTGCGCAGTACGATACTTAAGGCTCGTTGCTGAAGCACAAAGCAGTCTTTGTTCATTCTTGTGAGGCACAACTGGCCTTCCATGCATTTCCCGGCCAACTTATTTTTGGCTGTAGGAATTGTTCCTTCCAGCTGCAAATCAAACATGCACTTCTTCCACACCCGTCTGCCTCTACGTTGTGCCCAGCAAGGTGCCCAGCAATGTGCCAGATTCATAAATTCTTGCATCCCTCAAAACGATTGAGAACCCAAGCACAACAAAAAAGCAGACTCCTGCGCTGAGGCCATCGAAAGCAAAAGAATGCCTGCGCGACTTCAGACTTGAAAGGAGAAGTAAGAAATGTCCCCACGCGTCCTGCCCAGGGCTTGGTATAAAGAACAGAGTAGAAACATTAAAAAACAGGTCTGCTAACAATTCAGAACACATTCTGCCAACAATTAACCGAGCTGGAGAAGAATAGCAAATGAATTCGTTCTAGTCAGCCAACCCCAGGTCGGCAGCGCTAACGGAACTCGAAGACATTAACTGTTTCATTCACACAGCCGGCCGCCCAAAAGGCGCGCAGAGCACCTGGCAAATGAAAGTGCGGCGTAGGCGTAGGTATGGGTGCGGGCGGAGAGGCGCGCTCACCCGAGCTGGCAGACAAATGAAGTCGTTTAGTCAGCCGCCCTTCCGGAGACGCGCGGCATCTGCCGCTAAGCGAGCTGGGAGGCACATGCGTCTGCTTACGTAGCCGGCCGTCTGGAGAGGCGTGCAAAGCATCAGGCAGCGCTCCCCCGAGCTGGGAGACAATTGAGAGAGGCGTGCAATCCATCTGGCGGCACCAGCCCAGACAAATGAAGTGCAGAGCATCTGGCAGCGGGAGCCAAGCTGCGAGACAAATGAACTCGTCCGGCCGCCTAGGGCGTGCAGAGCATCTGGTGGCTCTCGAAAACAGGTGTGCACTCCTTAAATCAATAACCCCTACGGCAGAGCTGTTTTGGGAAAAAAGAGACACAGCAAGCGTGGGGAAACACTCTGAAAACAGTGAGGGCACCGATGGTTGAATGATCCTTGACGTTTTCTAGCGCCACATCTTCTCAACGCACTGCGTCACCTTCAGCAGCCACCAGTGTGGCTGTCTTGCGATGAGACCTCCTGCTGAGCCGCATCATCTGATTTGCACGTCGGATCTGTGTTTTCTTGGATGCCGCGAAAAGGAAGCCAACAAGCAGACAACGTGTGGATGTGCTTTTAGGAGGGCACCTTTTCATGGGGAAACTAAAGCGAACACCACATTCTGCTTTGGGGGGGTCCTCTATCAAAAGACCCCGACCTTCCGGTAGGATGGCTCTCGTGTCTCCCACGCAACATTCGCTTTGGAGGCGCGGCAGTTGCCCCAAAAACAGGCCTTTCTCGGAGGCCGGAAATTCCGTGGGTGCAGAGTGAGCTCGACATGCCCGCAGCCCTCAATATGTGACATGGGGATCAACAGCATGTTTCTTGGAACTTTTGGATTTCGTGATTCGCTCCTCGTATTTTTGTCACACCGCCAAAGCCCCAGTCTGACACAAAGACCAAACCTTCGCCCGCCTCGGTGGGCTGCTGCAGACACAGCTCCGTGCCTTCGAAGATGCTGTTCTTCCACGGCTCCGTCGGCGCGCCGCCTCGAAAACGAGCTCGAGCACCGGTCCGGTTGGACTTGTTTCCCACCTTGGGAGACTTACACACATGGGCAAAGTGGGTTACAACCCACTAAGCACTTACAAGTTCTAATTGCCCTTTCGAGTACGGTATGGCCTGTAAAAAACATCCAGTCTGCTGCTCTACCTCGGCTGAGAAAACTAAATGCAGCACAATCACCATGAAGATGACCTTGGCGTCACTGCCATTGCTTGTTTGCAGACCGTGATGTTCCGAGCCCCGTGATGTCGACAGGTGGCAATTGGGTTCAGGTTCAGGTCAATCGGTCCATTGCAAATCGACGCGAGACTTTGCCAGCCCCGCAGAGACGCCTTCAATTTTGCAGCCCTCGCTCAAGCGGGTGTCCGCCCCTTCGAGCGTCTTCAGGTCGACTCCTGCCACCCGTGGCGTTTTTGTATCCGGAAAGTGCACTGCTAAGACGCGTGAGAAGAGTCACAACCTACGGAACTGTGTTGTTCTGACGGCAGGTCCGTGTGAGAGTGAACATCATGTCACTCGAAGGCGACTTCCTTACCCGTCTGTTAACGCGTGGGATCAACAGAGGCGGATGCGACATTCGTGCGCGCAGCCCTGGCTAGGCTAGCGCGGTAGATCCATAAATCTTCGGCAGGCACTGCGCGCTTTCTTTTTTCCACCTCTCAGGTGAGGGTCTCTAGGTTTTATAAACACCTACATATCTATCTATCTTATTTCTTATCTACCTATCTATCTATCTATCTATGTATCTATGTATGTATCTATCTATCTATCTATCTATCTATCTATCTATCAGCTTATCTCTCTCTCTCTCGCTCTATCTATCCATCTATCTTTACATCGATTTATCTATATCTCTATCTCTCTAACTATCTGTCTATTTGTCTCTGTCTTTCTCTATCTGTCTATCGTTCCAACCCATCTAATCCATCTAACCCATCCATCCATCCATCCATCCACCCAGCCACCCAGCCATCCATCCATCTATCTATCTCTGTAGTTTTCGACCTATCTATCCATCCAACTATCAACTTTCCATCCATCTGCCTATCCATCTATTAATCTGTCTATCCAACTATCTATCCGTCTGTCTGCTTCTATCTCTCTATCTGTATCTAACCTTGCGAAAGTGCTGCGCCTGCCACGAAATCTGTACTGGACTTTGTGAAAGTGCTGCGCCTACCACGAAATCTATACCTGACCTTGCGAAAGCGGTGCGCCTGCCAAGGAATCTGTACCTGACCTTGCGAAAGTGCTGCGCCTGCCACAGAATCTGTACCTGACCTTGCGAACGTACTGCGCCTGCCACGAAATCTGCGCCTGACCTTGAGAAAAGAGCTTGCGTGCCAGTGATTTGCTCGCATTTTTCAAAGGTGGGCACTCGAAGTAAAGTAATTCTGAAGGCATCCTTTTTTGGAGTTTGGTTTAAAGGGAAGCCAAAAGAAAAAACATTTTTTGTTGAGCCGCGCTAGATTGACACATACACATATCGCAACTCGTAAGGTCATGCCCGCGCTTTGCATCATAGATCCTTGACATCGCTTCCCTGTTTACCCTGAATCACCGAGTGCTTTGGCCATGGCCGGCAATAGCTCACACAGGTGTGCCTCGAAATATGGTGGGTCTCCCTTGGCTTCTCTTCAAACCAGTCCTGGGCTTTTTCAAGCACAACGTGGAGCCAAAGCAAGGAGAGACACTGTAACCTCACAGTTGTCATGAGCAGAGCTTGAGAAGACGTTTGCCTATTGTGACTCGTGGCAACGACAACTTGCAGCCCAAGGAAACATGAACCAAAAAAGAGGCCTTCCCGCTGGTCCTTGGGCGACTGCCAGCACCGCCAGCAGCCACATGTTGCGCGAGCCGCAGAAAGGCCGCATTGGCGCAAGGACCGGCACAGGATGAAACGGCAAAACAAAGGTAAGTTGCTTTGGAGTTTTGGCCGGTACGTTGATGGCTGGCTATTCGACTCGGCATATGGATTTCTGCTCAACTGTCGGCACGGGTGCGAGAACTTGCGTACTTCCCAATGACTCCCGGTGGCAATCTCTGCCTGCCAGGCAAGTACGATCCATCTGTCACCAAGCTCGAATACTGGTCGAAGGGCGCATGCTTTGAACTGGCCATAGACCGGGAAGCAAACAGTGATCTTGCTGGCTGAAAGGAAAAATGACCAATGAAGGATAGCCCAAAAAACACAAGGTCAACAAGGTATGTCTGGCAATGATTGGAGTCATTCTTGCAGACTTTCGCACCTTCAGCAGGATGGTTGCGAACTGCTGGATGCTGGCAGTAAGCGAAGGACCAGATTGGTCCTGCCATGACGCGCTGTCGCAATGCAAGCTGCCATCTGCCTGAACATGTCGTAGCTGCATCTCTGCAGATCTGACACGTTTAGACCTTTTGGAGAGTATCAACACCAAAGTTCTTCACAAGTGTCACTGCTCTGAAGGCACAATGCTCCAAATCCTAGCCAGTCCAGAACACAGTCTGAAATTGGAACCATGCCCTACGATGCAATCTGCT